ATTTAATAGTTTGTGTTAAATTTTAGCATAATTCAACAGTGCTAAACTCTGTAAATATGCTCCACAAGCTAATATCTGTATCTGCTAACCAGTTCAATAAATAACAGTGATTACATCGACTATTTTACATCGATTATTTTATACGATTATTTTAATTTTAAACTGTTACATTATGTTCTGCTCAGATCACATTGAGCTAAATAAGATCAAATCTGCTGACTTGTGTTGTAAAATGAGACGTTTTCCTGTTTATCTTCTGTTAATAAATCCATAACAYAAACAGCTTTTCTGACATTATTTAAAACATTAAATAGATTATATAAACTGTAAAATATTAATAATAATTGGATTAATATTATTATTAATAGGTTTTATGACTTCTACATCATCAGTCCTGTTTTTCTGCTCTGTTGTCAACATGTGCAGTGATGGGAAATCCAGAGTCTTGCCCATTTAGCGTTAGCCGTTAGCTTCTCCAACCAATCACACGGTCACGTGGTTTTTGTGCTCTCCAGCTGTTCTATAGAAACTCCTTGGTTCAAAATTAACTGTCAAAATTCACCGTGTAAAATCTCTGTTTTGCGGCATTTTTTTTTGACAGCTACTTTTGCCGAGTCCTGGTTGTCCTGGGAAGTAGGAATTTCCCCACTTACAAGTGGTAAATTTAAATTGGAACTCCATTACAGTGGGAAACCCCTGTGGGAAAGTGGGAGACTCTTACTTTTACTTTTAATAGTATTTCTGTATTATTTATTTCACATTTAGTCAGTCGTACACGTGGTACTTTTCAGTGCTTATCAGAGGACGTGTGAAAACGCAGTTTCCATGCAGGAAATACCAGGTAGAGCTCAGTTAATATTTGTTAGCTGTGCTCAGACGAGGAATGTGACATTTTGTGTTTAATTAAAGTTAAACAGTAAACATGGGCTATTTGGACGTGTTTAGATCGTAAATTAAAAACCATACAATAACAACTATTGTGATAAATTTAGTATTAAATGACCAAGAGTTGTAATTCTTAAAATCTGTCCATTTGGCAAGTAAAAAAAAGTTTATTTTCAGATATTCTGTTCTGTACAAAGAATTGCCTGTGCCATAGTTTCTAAAATCTTATTTATTTGAATATAAAGTTATATAAAAAAGGCTAAAACAATTTTAAAGTGAAGCTTTAGGAGTTTTATTAGGATAACCACATTTAGACACTTTAACATCAGGCAGATTGTTGTATTAATGAACTTTCTTGTTGCTAAAGGTGCTAAAAAAAACTGTGATTGGTTATAAAGCTGAACTACAAAGTTCATAAAAATGTAAAAGAAAAGAAATTAAAAAATTGCTAATTAAAAAATGTTGCAACCCTTGTAAAATAATCCTAAATAAATACATTTGAGAGTTTTATTTCGTATTTACTTCATCAAATGCTAAATGTATTGTTTTTCATTAAGAGAAAACAGAAAGTTAAATTTGTCTTGAGCCCTGAAACTTGGTGAAACCTGGAGTTTTGACCCCAGTTTTGGGCCACAATAAAAGAACGAATGTAAATGAAAAGCAGCTCACAGATTCTCACCCCTTTATCCAGCAGGCTGTCGAACTCGTCGCTCATCCTTCGAAGCTGCCGGCCGTACTTCTTGGCCGCCCACAGGGAGGGAGGGGCCGACTTGGACCGCCCCCTGAATGGATACCCATCAGTGGGGGTCCCGGGCTCCTCCTCACCCCGGACCGAGAGCTCCCCGTCTCTGGAAGAGGTGGAAATGATGGACTCCGAGTTCAGCCGGATCCGACCGTTCACTACGTCAAAAAGAAGAAACGAGGAAAATCACCAATAAAAAAAAAGATGATTTTGTTTGTTTTTCTGTTTGTTTGTTTGTTTGTTTTCCTACTTGAAAGTTTGAGCTCGGGCAGGTTGAGGCGCTGAGGGCCGCTCCCCTCCCGTCCCGCCGATGGCTGCTTGTTTTCTCCTTCCTCTACCTCCTCCGAAGGCTCTGAGTCGCTGTCAGAAATGGTGAAGTTTGCAGCCATCGTAACATCTGGAGGAAAACATTACAGCAAACATAAACAACGAGCTGAAGAACAAACGTTTTCTCGCTTTCTTGTTTTATTTCAAAGCTTCACAACGACAAAGTTAAAATCAGTTAAACTATAATGTAATGGCTTTTTCATTAACTTTGATAAACGTTAGCAGACCAATTAGCTTCCGCTAAATTAGGTTTTGCCAATTTTAAATCTGCTAACAGCCAACTAACATCAACTAACAAAACTAATTTTACAGTGAGAACTGCATTTGTATTTTGCCTTAAAGTGTTTCTTACCCCACCGTGAAAAGATAACTCCGCCCAAAGGCAAAATTTGAAAAATGCATCAAAGTGGGTAGGGGAGGGGTGGGGTTAGAGAGCAGAGGTGTGGCCAGGACGACAGAACATGACAACTAGCATTAGCATAATTGATGCTACATGGAAAGTGACCACAGTATCGCAGATAGTTACATCTCTGAACGGTCTGAGGTGGAGGATTTTCACCCCACACCAGCACCGGACAGAGGAGGAGGAGCGCTCCAACAGCCTGACAGAAAAAAAATAAAAGCATACAGCTGCAGCTGCTCACAAGATCCATCCATTCCATCCATTTTCTTCCGCCTATCCGGGGTCGGGTTGCGGGGGCAGCAGCTTCAGAAGGGAGGCCCAGACC